AATGATGCAAACTGTTACCCCTTAAAGGATTCAGGTCGACTTAACCTGTAACCCTGTATATCTCAATAATTACTACAGTTGTCCAAAATCACAGCCTGACACCTACAGGCGCACGACCTTTTCCAGTCATTTGATATCATAAAAAAAAAGAAAAAATCTTAAATGAAACAATACATTAAAACCAAGACTTGTATTATTCAATATGAACATTCCATAAAATCAACTTTCATTACAAATTACAAAATAATAACGGTATTGAGTCTAAACAATTTACACAATATGTACAAAAATAAAACCTTGTTGCATAAAACTAGAAACACTTAATGAAGTCCATTTGCTTTGCTATGTATGTAATTGTCTTTTAAACTGTCACTGTTAGGCAAAATGTAGCATTTGCATCTTCGCAGCGTGGTGGCAGGTAATCTTCAACCTCCAGGTATATGTGCGTTGAGAACATCGGCAACTTTTCTTCAACTGGACAACTTAATTTGGAATAGTATATTAGCTATATGCCGCATCTATAAAGCAGATCAAACTAATGTGACAATAATGTGAGCCAGGAACGAATCTGCTAACTGATGGAACCCTGCGACGTAAATGGCCTTTCGACACTGCGGTTGCTACATCACCACGCAACAATATTTTACGAAAACAGGAACATCACGCAGATGATGTTATATAGCAAGTACAGCTTGTAGGCTGGCCTTGCAATCAATTTGAGTTTGATCGCTACCAGTGTAAATAACTGGCACCTGTTGCAAGAACTCAAACGTCTTATCCGAAGAGTCGAAGGCCAACTCGCGGGTGATGTAGTCCACAGGAACGCTCTGTCTGTATCTGCACATATAAATTTAATATTAATAAAACACAACCAGCACTGGCTGGTGGTAACTCACCTGAAAAATATGATTAGCAAAAAATACAACAATAATTTGTAACACGCTCTTGAACTATGCAATTTTCATTGTGGACGAACACTTATCCACATTAATAATCAATCCTTAAACAATTTGTCTATTTTGTAAAAATAATAACATTTCTTTGACAGACCTCATCTAGAATCGTGTTAGCTTACCTGTGACGATCATTAGTTGAACAGTTTCATACATGCAATAATGGGTAGGACTTAGGTAATGAGTAATTAGTTCGCATAGCAACCTATCTACCTATTGACAAGAATTAATAGATATTATGTTGGTTCTATTGATCATCAAATTAAAGTAGAGATATTGAAGAAATCCCCATGTACTTTATTACCATAAAGTTGCTTAGGCAGATGAGTGCCTTTCAATTCAAAAACACTATTGAATGGCATAATAAATAGGACAGATATGAAATGAATGCTGAAATTTGATCAGTAGCACCAAAGTAATAAGCAATGGGAGAATAAGGACGTACGATTTTATTATATATTTGAGGTATTTTCTGCGCTCCCTCTCGACAAACCAGTCCATCAAATAGCCGGCCATGAGGGGAGCAGTCTTGTACAGCAGGAAAAACTTGTGTAAGTTTCCTGTTGCCCAAGCACACCTTGTTTGAAGTGCATGCTTTATGCACTCATTTTCCCTATCTTCCTTAGAAAGAAACTGGAATATAGTTGTTAAATCTGAAAACAAAAGTATCAAATTAATACTACACACGAAAACTACAGTGATCTAATGGTGGGCCGAAAAAGTATCACAATATTATTTTGTAAACGAAATTTCGCCCATATGTATTTATTTTTACTATCAACTCGAATACTACTCAATTGACGTAAAACGTTTGTGAGATAAAAGCCTGTGACAAAACAGGTGGATAACTGAGTGCTCTCACAAATTGTTTGACCTCTTGAAGTAGGAAAATAATATTTTTTTTACCTTTTTCTCAGGAGATTAATTACAATATTCTTATCATTTAGTTCTAGAACCTATAAAAAAAATGTAATAGAAAAGCTTAAAATCAATTAAGTTTTATTTCTAAATTAAGTTGAAAAACTTTATTTATACAATGTGTTAATTTGAATTCTCGCCATATTACAGAGGTCATTATAAATCCGAAACTGAACCCAAATCACTAAAAAAAATGAATAACTAATAAATTATTAGGAAGTTTCCTAACAATGCTTGATCCAAAGGTCATTGACTTGCATGGCAATTGCTACGGGAAGCATCTTGAACAATGACCTTAAGCGCACAGAAATGCAAATGCATGGGTCTATTTGGTGATGGGGTGCTGGTAGCGGCGATTGGTAGATCACTCGACCATGCCTCCCGTATTGCGTCTACGTGCCGCTGACATCCCAAATAAATTTTATAGTCTCTCACGAAATGCCACGTGATTTAGTATGTAAACAAGAGTTAGTGCAAAAAAGAATCGCTACCAGGTTCACCAGAACCTGTATTACCATCAAGTGCAAGTGCGTACCTATTCTTATGTGAAACGTTTACTTTACGCAGAGGAGATTACGAGAGTCGAAGAATTGCGCAACAATCGTCTCTGCTTTCAAAGTTGTGAAGTCAAATGTGCTAAGCTGAAACGGAACTCACGTGCGAATCTCTGCAGCTGCGGAGCAAGGTACTTCTAGCAATACTTTCATGTAACCTAAAGTTGGTAAGTACCAAATCTTAGTTACAAAAAGTTCCAAAGTGCCAAAAAATTTTTTTCAGTCAACTTTTCTAATTAAAGTAAATAATTAGTAAATTATAACAATACCTGTACATAATTATAATTTAAAAAATAGGTAAAGCGATCGAGCAAGATTACGTATCGGTATTACGAAGCGGGTGGAATGCAAAACTGAGAAAGCTAAGAGAGAAACCTCGAAGGCTCTTCAATAGAGCCAAAAGTAACAAAGGAATGGGAGACCTACAGGAAGGCCCTACCTAACTATCTAACTATAACAAGGAGATAAGGAAGGCCAAGCGAGTATCGTGGAGGCGGTTCTGTGAGGAGATCACTAGTGCTCCTCAAGGTGCACGTCTACATAGACTGCTCGCTAAACCCAATTCCCATCAACCAGGACTGTTAAAGAAGCCTGATGGGACGTTCTCGACTTCTACGATAGAAACCCTTGAGCTTTTAATGTCAACCCACTTCCCGGGGGCCTTGTGTGACACGCCCACTACTCCAGCAACGAAGCTACATTCACCTCGCAATGAAGACTGGAACAGAGCCGCCAACATAATAAGACCCCGACAAGTGGCTTGGGCCATAAGCTCGTTTAAATCGTATAAATCCCCTGGTGAGGACAGTATTACTCCCATCTTACTGCAGCAAGGCATAAGTGTACTCTTGCCATACCTGGTCAATATACTACAATATATACAGAACCAGTCTTGCTTGTGGACACATACCGATGCAATGGACAACGTGTAAAGTTGTATTTATACCGAAGGCAGGCAGAAACGACTACTCTCTTGCTAAGTCCTTTAGACCCATCTGCCTAACCTCATTTTTGCTTAAGGCAATGGAGAAGGTACTTGACAATCACATTAGGGCTTCGTCCTTAATATATAGTCCTATCCATCACACTCAACACGCCTATCAGAGTGGAAAGTCCACAGAGACAGCTTTGACCACCTTGTGGACAGGGTTGAAAGAGCGTTTGAGGATAAACAAATGGCACTGTGTGCCTTTCCAGACATTGAGGGTGCTTTTGACAATACACCCTCAATGTCTAGATCCCACCCATCCATACTCTGGTGAAGGGCCTAACCTACAAGGTGTAGACACTTCAACCACGAGGTGACTACAGAACATGCTTTTAAGCCGCAGGGCCAGTATCTCGTTACATGGGGACCGGCTTGCGGCCTCCACAGTAAGGTATTGCCCGCAAGGTGGGGTAATTTCTCCTCTCCTGTGGACGCTTGCTGTGTTGGCTGAACTGAATCAATATTCAGTTCAGCCAACCTATACAGGTTCCGGATATCCGCATATCCTTGAGCGTCAATACGCTCGGGGATATGCGGATGACCTGGTGATCACAGTTCGAGGGCACTGCCAAAGTACTATATCATCACTAAGGAGCACTTGACACTGTTTCCGCGTGGTGTCAAGATAACGAATTATCAATCAATGCGGAAAAGACAACCATTGTTCACTTCACCAGGAGACGGAAACTAGACAAACTAGTGGAACCAGATCTTGGTGGCAGGGCTGTGGGCTTTTCCGCAGAAGTCAAATATCTAGGGATAACTCTAGATCAAACCCTAAGGTGGAACCACCATATAGCTAACACGATCAACAAGGCCAAGATGGCCTTAGGTATCTGTAGCCGTGACACGTTGGGTCACGTGTGACGTGACAGCGTTGGGGTCTAAAACCAAAGATGACACTCTGGTTATATAAGGCAATTGTGAGGCCCATAGTGACTTACGACTCTGTTGCTTGGAGTGCTAAAGTCAGCCAAACAACCACAATTGTCACATTGGGCAGTCTACAGCGCATCGCGTGCCTGCTAGCAACGGGAGCCATGTCCACCACACTTGAGGCAGCCCTAAATGCATTGCTGAACCTGACTCCTCTGCATTTATTCATACAGGGAGGCCAGTACCAGCATGTAAAGGCTTACCACTAGGTTAAGAAGCAGATGGCTCTCCCAGACATTGAGGACAGCCCAAGACTCAATTCTGGAACACTCTGTTCTGGGAATGACTTCTGATGTCATGCTTCCCAAACAAAAATCTTTCAGGCCGAAGTGTACGAAATCATTACTTATGCGGATTTGAACCTGAAGAGAAACTACGTTGACAAGCATTTTTACGGAAACTCAGATAGTCAAGCGGCTCTACATGCACTAGCCTCATTCACCCAAACATCGAGGATTGTAGGGAACTGTGGAAATATACTGAACACTCTCGGGGAAAGTAATACAGTGGTACTGCGCTGGGTTCCAGGCCACTCTGACATCGAGGGTAAAGAGTCAGCGGATGAACTGGCAAAGGCTGGTGCTAGGGACACCTTTATTGGACCCGAACCCTTCATAGGGATAGCATACAGCCTGGCAAAGCTCACTCTGCTAAATGAGAGCACACACCACTCCCGAGAAGTGTGGTTACAGAACAAGGGTCTTGAGCATTCAAAAGCTTTATAACTTAACTTTAACTTTATAACTGCCTCTGTGGCCGAACGGTTACCATGCCGGAATGCCACGCAGAGATCCCAGGTTCGATTCCGGGAATCGAACCTGGGATCTCTGCGGGAGAAATATTTGTATGGCCTACATTTATTTCTCTCGTGAGTTTGGGTGTAATTTGTGGTTGTCTATGTGTGTGTGTCCATGGCACCCGCGACACAGGGTTTCCCTAGTGCGGGGCTATGTTGAGTGTGTGCGTTATTATTATTATTACTAATTTCTTAAATATGGCGAGGATGCAAATTATGATTTGCATGGGATATGTCCCATACCCTCCCATCATACCCAAAATATTATCACACATTAGGAGAATAAAAAATTGGCTGGACAGAGCAGCCAAAGCGGAGATATGCTAACAGCCGAAGTTTAATAATAGTTGAAAACCAAACAGGAACAACAGTGAGCCACCTTATGACCACTTCCATTAAGCCTGATTAAATAAAGACAAAAATATAAGGAGGCTTGAGAACAAGTTATTTTGACCAAATCAAAAGGTGGAGGCCATGTTGTATAAGATCAAAAAAAAAATCCTTGCAGTCAACTATACCGCATTTACTACATCAATAAGAGCCCATCTCTTAACGAACAATGGCCAAGTTCCAGATAGTCCTGGACCAGCTACAAAAAAATTAACGACCATCAATCGCAGTCACAGAGTTTTAGTGGTCAAAATATATTTTTGCAATTTTGAAATATGGCCGACATTAAAGAGTTATTTGAATTTTTTAAAACAAAGTCACTTCGGAGGGCAAAGCCCGAAGCGTCCGCACGCCACCTTACGTATTAGTACACCAAGGCTCTATTCTCACAATTACTCAAAATGTACGGCACACTTCCCGATGTAGTGGAAATGTGAGATACCTTTGTTTATCTGTTAGACTCCTTTTTCTAACGAAGATATGACAAATAGAAGTATTTAAGGAAAAAATGCCAGACAATGACACCAAATTTCTGGTCTCAAATTAGGGAATTTCCTGTACTATGAATATCAAAATAACGATAACTTTGGGGGCAATACCCAGAATACACAGACCAGAACCAGTTTAGAAATGTTCGTTTTTTTTCAATTTCCCAAAATTGGCCCAAACGAACCCGGAACCTCCTCGTCAAGCGCCCATAGTACTAACCGCTGTGCCACCAAACAGCATAAGCGCACCCCGTAATCTAAACCCGACTACGCGCAGCAGCCTGAGCCCAACCCCATCGTAGGTGGGGTAGAAGCACAGGACAGTGCACTGTACTCTATACTGCACTGTATACTATTATATATCTGCATGCAATTTTACAAGTAAACATATGGCAAAATTTCTGTCTCAAAACACATCATTATAGATCGACAGTATCGAGCAAATATATAGGCACCTTAGCTTGTTATTTTGAGAGCTCTGTTTTGTACACCTTCCAGACGTTTAGAATGAAACTTGTAAAAAGGTGACGACACATGTATACTCAAGAGTACTTCTAATTATGGCATAAAAAATCTAATAAGGGTCTTGGGGTTTTTAAAATCTTTAGTACATCTGGTGACAAATCCTAACATTTTGCAAGTCTTTAATACTAGAAAGTCGTAATGGTTCCAAAAAGTAAGTAAGCTTCTCCTCAAAGTACACGCCCAAGTCTCTAGCAGCCGACTTTCTCTGGAGTGATGCACCCTCGATTACGTTCAAAATTACTTTGTGTCGCTTGTTAGTAAATGGACCACTATAAAGCAATTATCGACGTGTAGGTTTAGTAGCAGTAGAGCTCCTTGTGAAAGAGTCCAGGGAGGTACTGCCACTTTACCTATCTCTGCCGGCAAGCAGTAATGTCAGCATTACTGTGTTCCGGTTTTGAAGAGTAAGGGAGCTAGTGAAATTACAGGCACATGGGACTTGTCAACTTATGTCTCAGGGTGACAGGCGCAATGGCAGTGCGACTCAGATCTTTGCGATATAAAGCTCTGAGTGGCACTGCAACTGTTACGGACCGGCGTGCAGCTTACTGCACGATTTGTTCATCCCGTCACTTGATATTATAAAAAAGGTACCATTCCACAACCATAGTAGCATCCCACTGCAAGAAAAAAAGGGTACTAACATTCTTTACCTTGGTAAACATTTGAAGATCATCGGCATACAGGAGACAAGGGTAGGTAACTTAGTGAACCAAGACATTTATAATTATTATGAAAAATAATGGTCCCAAATTAGAGACCTGGGGGACCCCGAATTTCATTTGAATAGCACTAGATTTGAAACCCTTGACAGCAACCAGCTGACTGCGATTCATCAAATATAATCTCACCCATCTACCATGAACTCAATATCATGCTACACTAGGTATTTACAAGTATATACAAGTGAAGAGTAATTAATTTGGGTTAATGTTTGTTCAACATTAATTAAGACAAGTAATTATTAGTTTGTGATATACAATAGATTTGGCATTAGTGTGATAAATCAATATCATTAATTCTCCAAAGTTTCTTCTATTCTCGTATTTGGAATAAAGTTAAAATAAAGTTAAGATAAAGTTTCTTAATGTGTTTGAATGTATAGTTAATAAGATAATAATAAATAATAATTTTAAGTGTATTAAAAAACGAAACATGGGTCAAAAAGTTTTGGCCAAAAGATGCATCACTGAAATATTGAAGGCTATCGGCGCAAAAGTGGTGTCACCATCATAATTTTTTTCCTACCATTATATGATATTGCAGAAAAAAATTGAACGTGGGTTACACCAGTTTTAAGCTGATAGCCTTATATTTATAGTAAAAATAGATCACTCTACTTACCTAAAGTATTTTTTGTGAAAATGTAGTACAATATCCTGTAAGCTGTAAACTCTGGAGCATTAGGTCTACTGTCTGGTAACTCTGAATATAGCATTTTGAGTTGTGTCTGACACTGATTGAATTCCTCATGGTCACCTTTCTCTAGAGCTATCCGAGCATGAGTTTCATACACTTCCACTGTAAAACCATCCCGAACACCTTGTACCTATAAATAATTTTGTTAAAGACATAAAAAGCACATCATAATACCAAAACATAATAAATAAATAGCACAGTCACTTACTGTTAAATCTTGCCTAATTGATTTCAGTTGATCACATGCATATCTATAATCTTGTTTCTCAATCCATCTTTCTTTTACATTTTTAAGGGAGTTCCTCAGAATATTTACAGGCCTAACTTCACAAGCCTCAGGTGCCCTGGTCAACCTGAGGAAAGACTTCTCTATATCCATACATGTTCCCACAATGTGCATATTGTTCAACTCATAATCTCCTTCATTATCTTCTATGATTGGTCTCCTTGCGGTCAGCTCTGGTCTCTTGAATCCAGCCTGTAAAGAACTAGCTATGGTGGGAACATTCGCATTTCCAAATCGTTCAGCTCTCTTTTGTAACCTTTCTGCATTTCCTTGTACATCATCAATAACAAATTGATTGTATTGTGCCTTCTTCTTATTTTTAGTGTATTTTTCAGGTTTCTTATGGTCAAGTGATAACCTATCTTTGACTTTCTGACGCCCTTTGCTCTTGAAGTTTCTTTTATCTTCAACCTCATCGCTTGATGTGGAAGAAGGACTGTAAAAGAGGACAAATTATTTATTAACTGATGATATAAACTGTGGAACTAAAGTATAATTTTACAATTTCAATCAAAAATCAAAAATCATTACTCATGAAAACAATTTACATAACAGAACTCACCTATGCCTTTTTCTTGGCGGACTTCTAGATCTGGACCTTGAATGTGGACGGCGCCTTCTCTGAGGACTTCTATGATTAAAATTACTTCTATGATTAGCTAAACTATTCTTTTTAGAATCTGCGTGACTTTCAGGTTTCTGGTACAAAGATAATGTACCATGAACTGGTTTCACAGCCAACGAATTCCTTTCACTATGAACACTGGGAATTGGCTCTTCATCCCAATTCCTAGTCCATATTTCATCTTTGTTAGCTGCTGCCGTAATACGTCCCTTTAAACATATGTCAATTTGATCACGATCAAAAGTTGTTTTGCATTTTTCATAACACCTTTTGATGTATCTTTCTAAACTCTCTGGCCATGTTCCAGCTGAACTTGATATAGAAGAGGATTTTAAAAGATTTGTAGAAATATCATTGCATGAAATTTCAGATGCATGTTCCACCTCCATATCTTTGGGAGAAACATGCTCTTCTTGCGGCTCATCTTCAGGAGGTTCTGGGATATCCTCAGCAGCCAATGGTGGAGGTAGAGGGACATCGAGTGGGGGCGGAGGGGGTGGTTTAGGAATGTCTGGGGGTGGGCACGGGGGTAACGGCGGTGGGTGATCGGGCAAAGGGGGTAATGAATCGTCAGAACTTTCGTCGGGCTTATTATTAAGCTTCTTGCGTTTTTTCTTAGACACAGTGTTGCTAGACAAAAGGGGGTTTTCATTTAAGGGAATAGGAGCAGTTTTTCTGTGCGGATTCAGATTAAACCTGATAGGGGATTGGTTAAAAAATGGTCGACTTGTGTCAAGAGGAGACATTCCTAACAATGGAGCTGGTGGTGGAGGCGGTCTCACGAATTGTTGATGGCCAAAGTCGGCTTTCGCCTCTAAAGCGTGGTGAAACTGATGAACGTTGCTAAATCCTGTGTTTTTACCCATTTGGTTGAAGTATTGATTATAGTAAGGAGGGAATATGCCACCGTGATATCCGTTATATGGAGGATATGCGCCATAAATCCACGGATTGTGGTTGGGAGGCATACCACTCATTGTTTGTATGGGTGGTTCTTTAGAACCGCTGTTATCTGCCATTTTAACGGTAGGTATAGATTTTGTTGAGTTGTGAGAGCTCCAAATTGTGGCCAAACTGTTAACTTAACACAAAATGGCGACCCTTATCTTCCACCAATTAAATAGGTACCAAAGAAATTCAAACCGATTATGATCTTCCCCGTCGACCGATGATTATTCACTAAAAGTGATGATATTCTAAACAAGATCACTTTTCACACTGCACAGAAACAACATTATACTCACTAACTTTGTTCGTACCGAGAAAGATGAAATCATACGTTAAAATGCGCAGCCATTTTGTTTTCTCATTCTCACACCAAAGTGAATGACGTTGAAAGTTGAAACGACGACGTCACCAACATCGTTGCCAATGCCAATTGTTCAAAATCCCCAAAAATCACGGTTAAAATCCCCAAATTTGGGGAGAGCAAAGATCATATTCCCCACAAATTCCCCACATCTCGAGTTTTCATTATTTATTAGAAATACATCGCTTAAAAATATAATAAAGAATTAAGAAACTCAAAATGTAACCATCTATTACGTTTGCTGTGAATGTAAACAAATGTAAAATGTAAAACTAATTATAAAATTAGATGACCTTAAATCGTTTATTTATTTTAATTACATTAACATTAATCAGTCTTTGAAAAAAAATCATTTTTCTTTGCAAAATTAAGTAAACTTACAAAACTAAGTAAATTGATTATTTGTTGTGCATTTGGTAGCATTATGTTAATGTTAGAAATAATCAATGAGTTTCGACCTATATTTAATATTTGAAGTTGACGAGTGGTAAATTGTGGTGTGGAAGTACTAACTGCTCGGCTTTGTTTATCAATAGTTGATTTCCTTTTGCTTCATACCGGGGACGAGCCTAAGCGGGAGAAAGAATCGCGAACTCAACACGCACCGGCTAGGTATTTTACAATTCAGAACCAAGTGCTCTAATAATAATTCTATTTAAACTGCTTTGTTAATAATACGAGGGATGTGTAATGTTGAAAAACACGTCGATATAGTTCATCACAGTATTTCTAACAGTAACGATCAAACTAGCGATGCATCAATAATTGATAGATTAAACAAAATGATAAAATGTCAGAATCCCCACATAGCGCCAATCCCCACAAAATCCCCAGTCTAGTTGAAATTTCCTGCAATTTTGGGAATTCCCCACTAATTGTCAATGCTGGTCACTAAACAGTAAAGAGACATCACGTTTTTCTTTCATTCATCCATTTCCGTTTCTCAGATTATTTTTAAATATTTTATTACTTTACTTTCTGCATATTTGCGAAACTACTGAATGTTAAATAATTATATTAAATCACGTAACAAGTATTGAATGGCAATAAATATCATTAAATTATGGAAAATAACTGAAATCACTGCTTTTCCAGAACAGTGGCTCATTTCAAAATTGACCTTTTTTTTTTAAAGTAAAATTAGCGTTTAATAGAATAGGTTATTCCGATTACTTTATGCGTAAAACGAAATATTTTACCCATAGAGATTTACGCGTCGTATTCCAGAACTGTACTCAATCCTCAAGTCAGGATTTGAGCAGACTTAAGTATGATTTCAAGCACTGGAAATACGACCCTAACGTATATAAATGGCAAGGACTTGAGTATGATTTCTAGTGCTTTGAATCATACTCAAGTCCTGACTTGAGCATTGAGTAGAGTTCTAGAATACGACCCTACACCATAAAATTAATAAATCGAATCGACTAATGTGTATCTCGCGTCAATGCGAATGCACCCACCGTGTATTCAAATCGATTTCTTTTATTTTAAGATTTGCGTGTTGTTTTGGAGTAATTGTTCATAGTTTGTTTCGCTGCAGTTCATTTTATGCTTTGTTGGTGACTTTTCATATGGTTGTTGTTGATTTTTTTATGTTGCGTTGTTTATTGGTAACATAATAATTGAATACTTTCTGTTTTATTTAGTATTTGCTCTTAAATTATTTTCTAAAAAACCAATCCGGTACTGTCGTTGTTACAAATTATCTTGCTAAGATATATAAATCGATTTTTTCATTCAATTTCACATCACTACATCTTTAGAAACTTCAAAACTCAAATGTCACTTCAATGAAAGATATTTTTTTATGGAAACTGTATGGTAAAACCTTTGCCTACCCAAATAAATAGGCGAAAATAAAAAACAAACGTTACCAGAATCATGCATGTGTGTGTATTAAGGATTAAGGTATTAGGACTGTAGTACCAGTGGTGCCAGATTAGGCGATTTTTCGCCACTTAGGCTGCTTCGAGGGGTCCTGGCGGCGACTAAAAAAGTCATCGACGACTTGGCGATATTTAGGCTATATTTGAAATAGGAAAAGGCGATTTTAGGCTACTTAATAAAATGTCTGGGGAATTACAAACTTAATTGTAGGTTTTGTGGGGAATGGAGTTGTAAAACAACTCATTTGAGGGTTTGAGAAGTTCTACGTGTGGGGAATTGGGAAAATAATATATTCCCCAATCTCCAGCAGCAAGTAGAATTATACAATTATTTTCCTTGATTTTTAGGGATTTTATGGCTTGGGCGGCTACTTAACACATATAAATTGGAGAATTAACTTCGCAAAAGTCTGGCAACACTGGTAGGTACCTATGTGAAATGAACTAAACTATCGTAGTGATTACATCAATTAAAGTGGTGAATCCAATAATCTATGGATTACATTCTTTATGTGAACTTACAATCAGTGTTTGATAGTCAGTTTGTGAATGTGTAGAAAAACTAAACCATTTACGAATCTATCATTATCACTTAAATATGAATGCTTTATGTGCCTTTTTAACTTTTTTTATAACCATAATGTAATTGGATCAACAAAACTAGATCATAACAAAACCATGGATTTGTTAAAAACACCTTCCGTACAATCGTTACTGGATTCTGACTTGGAATCTGTCGAAAGTTTTCAGTATTTGGATATCGAAGAGGTAAATCTTAAGTACTTGTAAAGTTTATTTTATTATTTATCTTTTAAATAATCACACTATTACAACAATATTTAAAAATAATAATTTAGGCAAACTCGCTTTGCTTTTAGTCAGAAAAAATAATGCGGGAATAGATATCGATAATAAATTGACAGAATTTATTTTGTTATAATCTTTTCTTAAGTATATAAGCTCAAAAATCACATGTTTGTGATACCCGTTTCAACTGTAGG